AAGAATATAAAAACGGTACAGCCATTCTATTCAATAATGTGGCATTTTCTTGTAAAAATGAATATGGTGGGTCTGGTGGTGGGTATTAAGGAGGGCACATATTGCCTGGAGCACTGGGTGTTATACATAAACAATGAACCTTGGAGCACAACATCAAAAGCTAATGATGTATTGTATGGTGACTAACATAACACAATTTTAAAAATGAAAAAAATGAATATGCACTTGCTGTTTAAATCAACAATCACACACTTAGGCATTTATTCTAAAGAATAAAGAAATAAAACCTTATGTTCATACGGAATCTTCAGTGCAGAACAATTTTACTTATACTGGCAAAAAACTGGAAACAAAACAAATACTCTTCAGTGAATGCAGAGTTACATAAACTATGATAAATGAGTACACTGGAATACTATTCAGCAATAAAATGGAGCAGAGTATTGATTCATACAGCAAATGTGGTGGGCTTCAATAGCACTGTGCTTAGTGGGAAAAAAGTATATCTCAAAAGATTGTGTACTGTATGATTCCATTTGTATGACATGTGAAAACTGACAAAACTATAGAGATGGAGTATGGATTAGTGGCTGCCACAGGCCAAAGGAAGAACAGGGGTGGAGACTGAGAATATAAAGAGATTGCCTAAGAGATTGCAGTTATGGAACAGTTTTATATCTTCATTGTGGTTTCCTGAGTCTATAGATGGGAGAAAATGCATCAACACACACGTGCACGTGCACATCAATGCATGCAAAAATGGTGAAACCCGAATGAGGTATGTTGTATAGTTAACAGGATTATAACCATGTCAGTTTCTTGGCTTTGATATTTTACTACAGTTATATGATATGTTTTCTTTCATTAGGGGATCTGGGTAAATAGATAGGGCTCTATATAAAAACATTAAAAAGAGGGGGAAACTATGATTCCTGTGCTTGATCAGGGAAAATAAAAGAGACTAAAAATAAAAAGAATGAAAATTCACAGCAGACACATGGAAACTAGGAAAAAAATAGTAAAATCAAAATTTTAGAATTGAAAGATACAACTGAAATTTAAATACTACTGCATTAGCACAATAAGAATGTAGATAATAGGGAAAAAGAGCAGAAAATGGAATTGCCAAAATAAAAAATACAGGAAACAACAAGTCTTGATGAGGATGTAGAGAAAAGGGAACCCTCACGCACTATTGGTGGGAATGCAAACTGGTGCAGCCACTCTGGAAAACAGTTTGGAGGTTCCTCAAAAGTTAAAACTGGAACTATCCTATGACCCAACAATTGTCCTACTGGCTATTTACCCCTAAGAATCCAAAACCACTAATTCAAAAGGATATAGGCATAGCCTATATTTCTTGCAGTATTATCTACAATAGACAAATTATGGAAGCAGCCTAAGTCTCCATGGATAGATGAATGGATAAAGAAGAAAAGGAATATATACAAAACAGAATATTATTCAGCCATAAAAAAGAATGAAATCTTGACATTTGCAACAATATGGATGGAGCTAGAGAGTATAATACTAAATGAAATAAGACAAAGAAAGACAAATACCATAAGATTTCAGTCATATGTGGAATTTAAGACAAAATTAATGAACAAAGTAAAAGAAATACAATTTAAAAAATGGACTCTTAACTATAGAGAACAAATCAAGAGTCACCAGAAAGGAGGCGAGTGGGGGGAATAGGTGAAACAGGTGATGGGGATTAAGAGTACACTTATCATGATGAGCACTGAGTAGCTTGTAGAATCATTGAGTCACTATATTAGACACCTGACACCAATATAACTGTGTGTTAACTATATTAGCATTAAAGTAGAAAAATTAATTTGCAAAGGAAAAGTGGAAATATTTACAGTGTGTGTAAGTTTTCTGCATAAAGATATTCGGAAATTTTTTAAAAAGTTTTTGCATATTAATAAAGAAATTCCCAGGGAGAGAGGAGAAAGATTGGAGCAAATACAATCTATTTGAAGAAGACAGTCAAAATTCTCTCACACTTGGTAAAAAATGTAAACTTAAATTGCAAAATGCTTGGCAAAGTATAAGCAGAATAAACTTAAAGAATACCAACATGCCTAGAATTATTATGATCATAATTTTTGAAAGCCAAATTAAAGAAACAACTCTTGAACTTATCTGAAGTAAAATGAGAAAGGACAAATGATTCAAAACCAGGTGACTTCACACCAGAAGTCATAGAAGCAAGAGTAAAATTAAAAAAAGTCATTAAAATACTGAAAGAAAAGACTGTCAACCCACTGGTCTATATATTCAGTGAAACGAGACTTCAGCAAAAAGACAAAAGAAAATCTTTAATGCATGGAAGAAAGAAAAGCCAAGAAACTAAAGACAAGACAGAAATTAGTTACCAGATTTGTCTCATACGAAATCCTAAAGAAACCTCTGGAACATAAGGGAAATAAAAGAAGGAGCAAATGAGAAGAAGGGAAAAACATGTAGATAGAAATAAGAGATTGTAAATTCTGAAAATCAAAAATTTCTTCTATTTTGTTTTGAAAATGTGAAAATGTGTTTTCTCTTCATCCACAAACAATTTAATTAGTGATCTAATAAATTTTGCCCTCTTGAATTCATTTTTATGTTGTATCAATTATTTGAAATAAATAAGCTTAGTGAATTTATTCAGAGAAAGGGAGGAAGTTAAAGGGAAATTTATCTCCACCAGAACAGAAAATGTATTACTAAAGGAAACCCTCCTGGATTATAGAAAAGCAATGCTTTTGTTACTTTGGCATTTTGTAAAAATAGTTTGCCCCTAAAAGAACTCATATTTGATCCTCTGTACTTTTATTTATGAATTACTTCAATTATTTTCATCAATATTTCTTATTTGATATGGACATTGGGGAAGGTATGTGCTATGGTGAGTGCTGTGAAGTGTGTAAACCTGGCGGTTCACAGACCTGTACCCCTGGGGCTAACACTACATTATATGTTAATTTAAAAAATTAAAGTATTTCTCATTTGATTTTCAGAGAAAATAAAAGATGAGTTTCAAATCTTAAATCACTTAGAAAGGATATCATTGCAGCAAACTCAGTTTCAGACAATAAAAAGAAAAGGTGTTTGGTATCTTGACATTATACCAAATAAAACTTTCTTCCTTGTACACCAATCTACTGGTAACTCTATTGTTACACTTGCAATTTGTTTCAGTTTAATATGTAATAAAACTTTCCTGTTTGTTTTTTTCTAAACTGTCTAAATTTTTGTCTAATTTCTTTTTCAGAGAAAAGGAAGATAGAAGAGCAAGGTAGCCATTTTATCTTCACATAAGTACAAATCATGCAATTAAATATTGTCAGCTCTTGACTGTATGAGAGCAGCCTTGGGCATCTTGGCATTGTGTTGAACCAAGGACATTGTCCCTAAGTAAATGAATTGATTTGACCTTCTGTTACTTTATTTGCAGATCACTTCTGTTGCTCTAACTTCAGTTTACTCTTTTGCATAAGCATCATGATATCTGAAGCACTTTTGGTGATCAAATGTGATGCTGCTTGTGAAACATGTATCACAGAGCTTAATGCAGAGAAAGCGGTTAATGAATGTCAGTGGGGATGTGGGGATGATGGTGACCATGATAGTGATGATGATGATGGTGATGGTGATGATTATTATGACAATGATATCATGCCTACAGAAGACTTCAGGAAATTATTTTGGGAGATGTTAAGTTCAGTCACAAGAAATTTAAAATTATTTTTCTGCTTTACCATTTCACATAAAACAATGTGTAAACCCATAAGTTTTTCAGTAAAACACCTATAAAATAAACATAACCTTTTTTTCTCTGAAGTGGCTAACCTACTCTATACACAACAGGAGAAAAGATTTTTGCAAGGTTTTTTGTTCATTTTGTTTGTTTCATAATGATTCTTATACTACTTTCTTTTAATTTTTCAAGTGAACCTAGGAAAGAAAATGGTAAAATTTAATGACTATTTACAAAATATGATATTCCTATTGTCTATGTCATAGTGATTTTCATATTACTCTGTTTTTTATTTTCAGGTGAACTCAGGGAAAAAAAATGGTAAAATTTAATAACAACTTATTTTCAAGATATGATCTTCCTATATGGATTTTTGCTGCTTTTTCCTTTTCCATTCCCCCTACTTTCTCTGTATAATTTCTCTCATGATTTTCATTTGTGTTTATTATATTACTATTTCCCTTCCTGTTTCTTTCTTTGTTCTTCTCCCATTAGTTAACTCATTTCTCTCATTCACCCTTGTCTTAATTTTTTTTTTTTTTAAAGATTTATTTATTTATTTATTTGATAGAGAGATCACAAGCAGGCAGAGAGGCAGGCAGAGAGAGAGGAGGAAGCAGGCTCCCTGCTGAGCAGAGAGCCCGATGCGGGGCTCAATCCCAGGACTCTGAGATCATGACCTGAGCCGAAGGCAGCGGCTTAACCCACTGAGCCACCCAGGCGCCCCACCCTTGTCTTAATTTAATGTATTATTTTTCAGCCATCTCCATGACGTTAGCAATAACTTCTTCTCTTGGCTCTGAAATAAGTCAAATCTAATCTGAAAATATATTTGAAAGAGCTCTCACCAGGCTTGCTGTGCCCACAACCTGATTCTAAGTAAAACTGAAACTCCTCTAAATAAGACACTATTTTATCAAAGAAATGTGCGATAGGTTGTTCCTTATACAGAACAAACACTACTACTCTACCTTTTGACTGAAGCATCAGCTGGCTGGACCAAAAGTGGAGGATTATGGCATAGTGAGTCTTTAATTTGCAGTTTAGCTTACTTAGATTTAAATCTTTGATCTGTTCATTTACCAACAGAAACTTCACCATGTTGTTCACCCCTTTGATTCTCAGATCTTTATTTTGTAAACAGAGGAATACTACTTCCCCATTATTTCGCTAGCATTCAATTGGGTAATTATATAAAGCCATTAAATAATACCTATCTCAGTGAATAAATTGTAGCTGTTACCGCACAGATGATGGATAGTATCACATTGCAGGTGATGATATTTATTAGTATCAGCATTCTAAAAGACTTCAAAAACAATATATCACTGGGGACTTGGGGAATTTTCTCTTGAATTTCAAATGTAAAATAATTTATCCATGTAAGCATGTGATATATTTTTGTATTGTTTTGTTTCCAATAAGTGTTCTAAAGAAGTGAGGGCTTTTTAAAAAAACTTTAATTAAAGTAACTTATTTCACGAGTAATTCATTTAAGGAACTTTAATTTTTCTTTTCTCTGTGATATTAAAATGGGGTTTTCACTTTTGTATTTCAGGAGAATTGCAAAAGGAAATTGGTAATTGTATTCCAATAGTTAAAATATTTGCAAGATATATTGTGGAAATCCCATGCTTCACTTTATCTTGTTTCTTTACCTCTTTATTTTGGGTGTCTTTTAATTTTCCTATAGCCTCTCTATACTGTATTTATCATGCTAGGAATGATTTACCTGTTTACCTTAAGTCCTTAAAATCATGTGAGTCATCTTCATTATATCCATAAGAAATAATTTATAAGGAGCAATGGCTTTACTAATATGATAGTAATAATTAGATTATCAAAGAATGCATGTCTTTATTTGCATTTTTATCTCTTCAAGAGTCTCAGTCTTCTGTGTACTTTTCCTTTTAGATCAGAGAAGAGCCCAATTTAGGAATGGTAAGTAGCTCAGAAGTTCTTTCATGGTAGTTCTTAAATTCCATAAATAAGACGACTCCTAACTCAGCTCTAAACCCTGTTCCCAGAGAGTCAGGTGTATTATACCATTGCCTGTATTCACTGTGTAGGAGAATAAATGGAAGAGAATCTGTAGTTAGTTAACTCATTTTTCCCTAATTTGGAATATCCTTTTCACTTCATCTCACTTTTTCAATTCTTTATTCCTTCACTCTGTTCTTTCTAATTCCTTCCTTTTCTTCTTCCTTCACCTCTCTTCTTTCCTTCCATTTTCCCATTCTTCTTATCTATCTTTATCTCAAACTACCCACCTTCCTATCATTACTTCTTCATTTTCTATCTCCCTTATTTCCTTTCTTCTTTTTATTGTTTTTAGTTTGCCTTTTTTTCTGACTTTATATTTTTCCACACACATACACAACTCAACCATTTTCTAGTTTAAGAAAGGAATTGTCACATGCTTGTGAGGAAGAAAAGCAACAGACAGATAAATATGTCACTGAATGCTTAGAGAATGTCAGTGATGAGAAGAGAGGAAAAGATATAAGAAGGACCAGGAGAGAGTAATAATATTTCATCATTTTGTTCACCTGCAGACTGGCAGAACGCATCATTGTACTCTGGTGAGTACATTATCCTGACCATGATAATTTTCCCTGAATCTAAGATATGTAACTAAGCTACCCAAATCTGCAAGATTTCATGCTACCAACTACCACATGACAGAGGAAAAAAATGTATTGTACATAACTTCCGTTCCATAGAAAACTTACCAAGAAATATAAATTACTTTTCTTTCCATATTTTTCTAGCCTGTGTCTCGTGGGACACTTACAAGTTAACTAAAGAAGATACTAAGAAATAAAAATAGTATCTTGTCAATTTAATAAATTTCCTTTTTTCTTTATCACAATTAAAGGAAGTTTTATATTTATGTGAATTAATACTAGCTACTCTTTCAAATAAACATCAAAACATGAAACAGTTTAGCAAGCTAGAGTGTATCTTTAATGTGTATACAAATATTCTTGGTAAAGAAGATCTACTTGGGGGGGCGCCTGGGTGGCTCAGGGGTTGGAGCCTCTGCCTTCGGCTCGGGACGTATTCCGGGTTCTGGTATCGAGCCCTGCATTGGGCTCTCTGCTCTGCGGAGAACCTGCTTCCTCCTTTCCCTCTCTGCCTACTTGTGATCTCTCTCTGTCAGATAAATAAATAAAAATCTTAAAAAAAAAAGAAGATCTACTTGGAAGATGCCCTCTAAGCAAAGACTTAGACCTAGACTCTTTCATTGTGTAACTTTCCAATATTCTAGATGTCCTTCAAAGACAGTCACAATTTTTTGAGAAAAAGAAATGTGAAGATCACCAAAATCTATAGTTTTTTTGTGGCAGGGGTTGACCATGTACACCTATATAGGCCAGTTCTGTCATGTGGTTTCACCTAGGCAAAAAGGGAGCTGGGAAAGGTGGTTTAGCTGTTTTCCCAGAAAACAGAAAAGCAATGAGTATTGTTAGAGTTTTGCCATCTCTACAACAAGCTGACTTTCAGGTAACCAAAGATCAATTTAATGCTTCTTTTCCTGTATCTATCTAACTTGGTCTTTTTCAAAAAGAGAAGCCAAGGGTCCATGGAGTCACTCCAACTAACTCTAAGGCCAAGATCTCTAGGAGATGCCCACTTGTCTTCTGCCAGTGGATGTAACTCTTCTGGATCTTGAAATCTGTGTACTCATAGACAGGAGTTGTCTGCACCCTTCATTCCATACTTAGACAATGCAATAAAACGTGGATAACAACTTATGTTTGGAATAAGGAAGGAGAAAGCACCATAGTCATCATTTACCAACAGTAGTAAGAATTTCCACCAGGGATACTGTGAAGGCCCCTTATTCTGAGGGTGGAAGTGTTTTCCTGATTATGTAGATCCTTGTTCTGCTCTTGAGATGTAACTTGCTTCCAGTTTTCCTCAACAGCCCTTGGCTCTCCCCCACTTCAAATGCATAGTGGCGAGGCACTCTTCTGGCTCGTTGAAATTTTTTTCAAAATATGCTTTGCAGCTTTCATGCTTACAGTATGTTTTACTCTATGCTCTTTTTTTTTTTTTTTGGAGAAAATGTTATTGGATATAATATACATACCACACATCTAATTAAGTGTTCACTCATGTTTTGAAAATCAATTCAATGATTTGTTAATACATTTACACAGTTGGGCAACAATCATCAAACCCATTTTTAGAAGATTTCTGTCACCTGGAAAGATCTTTTGTTCCCATTTTCTGCCAGTCCTTTCTCAAGCTCAGGCAATCCCTAGTCTCCTTACTAGGTCTTCTTTTCTTTTTTCTTTCTTTTTTTTTTTTCCCATTTAACATGTTTTTGAGACTCTCCTTTTAGCGTGTTTTAGTACTTTGTTCTTTTATATTGCCAGATAGTATTCAATTGTAAGGATATGCCACATTACGCTTATTTATACCCTAGATAATAGGAATTTAGAATACTTCCACTTTATTTTATAGTTTTAAGTTTTAATTTAAATTCTAGTTAGTCAACACATAGTGTAATATTAGTTTCAGAAATAGAATTTAGTGATTCATTTACATATAACACCCTGGGCTCACCACAGCAATTGCCCTCCTTATTACCCATCACCCATTTAGCCCATTCCCTGAACCCACCTCCCCTCCAGAAATCCTGTTTGTTCTGTGTCATTAAGAGGCTGTTTTATAGTTTCTCTCTCTCTCTCTTTTTTCTCACCCTATGATCATCTATTTCATTTCTTAAATTCCACATATGAGTGAGGTCTGGTATTTGTCTTTCTCTGACTGACTGACCTCACTTAACATAATACACTCTAGCTCCATCCACGTTGTTGCAATATAAGTTTTTATTCTTTCTTATAGTTGAGTAATATTCCATTATATATATGTGTGTGTATGTATATGTATACATTCATATATACAAAATGTATACATATATATATACATACATATATATGTATATATGTATATTACACACACACTTACCACAATTTCTTTACCCATTCAACAGTCAATGAACATATGGGCTCTTTCCATAATTAAGCCTTTGTAAATAATGCTGGTATAAACATCGGTATGCGTGTGTCCCTTCAAACCAATATTTTTTTAACTTTAGTTAAATACTTAGTAGCACAATTGCTGGATCATAGGGTAGTTCTATTTTTAACTTTTTGAGGAAACTCCAGACTGTTTTCCAGAGTGGATGCACCAGTTTCCACATTTGAAGCCTTATGAACAATTCTGCTAGGAGCATTCACATACACATCTTTGATCAAAAATATGTTTTACTTTTTCTTGGTTATAGATTAGGAGTGGGAATTCTAAATCACATGATAAATTTATGTTTAACATGCAATGAAATTGTCAAATTGTTAACCAAAGTGTCTGTACCATTTTACACTTTGGAGAGCAGTACATGACCGCATTTGTTATTGTCTGTAATTCTCATTATGGTCTTCTTAGTGGATGTGAAGTTTATCTTTTTGTGGTATTGGTTTGATTTTCTCTAATGTAAAATGATGTTGAATATTATTCATTAACATGGTTTATAGCCTTTGTATTCCTTCCTTGATGAAATATCTATTTATTATTTTGCCATTTTAAATTTAATTTTTACTTTTTAAATATAATTTATTTATTTATTTGAAAGAGAGAGCAAATGAGAGAGAGTGAGCAAGCGTGCATGAGCAGGGAAGGGAAGGGCAGAGGAGAGGGAGAAACAGATTCTCCACTGAGCTGGAATCCTGACAGGGAGCTCAATCTTAGGACCCTGGGATCATGACCTAAGCAGAGGCTTAAACAATTATGCCACCCAGGCACCGTATTTTGCCATTTTTCAATTGGAATGTTTGTCATCCCATTTTTGACTTTTAAGAAATCTTTTTTATTTGGATACAAATCTTTTACAGATAAATTGTTTGAACATATTTTTTTTCTAGTCTTTGTATTGTCCTTTCATTTTCTTTTTTAAAATTATTTTGATTAACATATAATGTATTATTTGCCCCAGGGATATAGGTCTGTGACTCATCAGGCTTACACATTTCACAGCACTCATCATAGCACATACCTTCCCCAATGCCCATAACCCAACCACACACTCCCTAACTCCCCACCCCCCAGCAACCCTCAGTTTTGTGAGATTGAGAGTCTCATGGTTTGTCTCCCTCCAGATCCCATCTTGTTTCATTTTTTTCCTTCCCTACCCCCAAACCCCCACCCTGCCTCTCAAATTCCTCATATCAGAGAGATCATATGATAATAGTCTTTCTCTGATTGACTTATTTCATTCAGAATAATACCCTCTGGTTCCATCCACATCATTGCAAATGGCAAGATTTCATTTTTTATGGCTGCATAGTATTCCATTGTGTGTGTGTGTGTGTGTGTGTGTGTGTGTGTGTGTATACACACACCACTTCTTCTATATCCATTCATCTATTGATGGAAATCTCGGTTCTTTCCATAGTTTGGCTATTGTGGCCATTGCTGCTATAAATATTCGGGTGCATATGCCCCTCTGGATCACTACATATATATTTTTAGGGTAAATACCCAGTAATGTGATGCTGGGTCTTAGGGTAGCTCTATTTTCAACTTTTTGAGGAATCTTCATGTTGTGGAGTGACTGCATCACTTGCATTTCCAGAGTGGAATTTTTCCAGAGTGGCTGCACCAGCTTGCATTCCCACCAGCAGTGTAGGAGGATTCCCCTTTCTCCACATCCTTGCCAGCATCTGTCATTTCCTGACTTGTTAATTTTAGCCATTCTGACTGGTATGAGGTGATGTCTCATTGTGGTTTTGATTTGTATTTCCCTGATGCTGAGTGATGTGGAGCACTTTCTCAAGTTTCTGTTGGCCATCTGGATGTCTTCTTTGCAGAAATGTCTGTTCATGTCTTCTGCCCACTTTTTTTTTTTTAATATTTTATTTATTTGACAGACAGAGATCACAAGTAGGCAGAGAGAGAGAAAGAAGCAGGCTCCCTGCTGAGCAGAGAGCCTGATGTGGGGCTCGATCCCAGGACCCTGGATCATGACCTGAGCTGAAGGCAGAAGCTTAACCCATTGAGCCACCCAGGCGCCCCCTTCTGCCCACTTCTTGATTGGATTATTTGTTCTTTCAGTGTTGAGTTTGATAAATCTATATAGATCTTGGATACTAGCCCTTTATTCATTATGTCATTTGCAAATATCTTCTCCCATTCTATCAGTTGTCTTTTGGTTTTGTGGACTGTGTCCTTTGCTGTGCAAAAGCTCTTGATCTTGATGAAGTCCCAATAGCTCATTTTTGCCCTTGCTTCCTTGCTTCTGGTGATGTTTCTATGAAGAAGTTGCTGTGGCTGAGGTTGAAGAGGTTGATGACTGTGTTCTCCTCAAGGATTTTGATGGATTCCTTTCTCACATTGAGGTCTTTCATTCATTTGGAGTCTCTTTTTGTGTGTGGTATAAAGAAATGGTCCAGTTTCATTCTTCTGCATGTGGCTGTCCAATTTTCACAACACCATTTGTTGAAGAGACTGTCTTTTTCCCGCTGGACATTCTTTCTGGCTTTGTCGAAAATTAGTTCACTATAGAGTTGAGGGTC